CCATACCAGCTTAGTGGTTAGCTATGGTGAGCACAAATGTAGATACTTATATATAACGTGTGTATAGAGGGTATAAACAGCAAGAGGAGAAGGTTGGGAGCTGGCATTTTGGTGAGGGTGGTGGCGTCATCTGCACGACGCCACCGTGCAGACGACGGTGTTGTTTACTGGTTACCACGATGGTCTTTTGGCACCATACCAGTTTACTTGTACAAGTATGGTGAATAAAACAGGTAGATATTTATATATAATGTGTGTATATAGCATAATAAGTCTCTTTACAGTCTCCGTGGTGTAGTGGTAAGACACTCGCCTGGCGTTCCGCGAGCGCTATGTCATGGGTTCGTATCCTGGCCGGGGAGGATTTACTAGGCGCAATTCCTTAACTGTAGCCTCTGTTTAACGCAACAGTAAAATGTGTACTTGGATGAAAAAACGATTCTTCGCGGCAGGGGATCGTATTCCAGGGACCATAGGATTAAGGACTTGCCCGAAACGCTACGCGTACTAGTGGCTGTACAAGAATGTAACAACTCTTGTATATATCTCAAAAAAAAAAAAAAAAAAAAAAAAAATAACACCACAAACAGTATTGCTGGAGGAGAAATATTAGTGTGTCTGGCCTTGAGGACGGCAGCCATCAGCTGACTGTGTGAGGTCCTACGTCTTTGTGCCTTTACTCACCATACAAGCTTAGATGTACAGTTATGGTGAACAAAACATGTAAATACTTATATATAACGTCTGTATATAAAAGCAAAAACAGTATGGTGGGTGGAGAATGGTGGCAAGTCAGGTGAGGTGAGGGAGGGAGTGGCAGCCAGTGGCGGGCTGCCACTGCCTGTCACTGCCACTCAGCATACCAACTTAGTGGCTCGTTATGGTGAACACGAATGTAGATACTTATATATAGCGTCTGTATATAATGAATAAAGCAAAAACAGTATTGTGGGAGGAGAATGTGGGTGAGTCAGGTGACTTGAGGGAGGGAGGAAGTAGCAACCAGTGGCGGGCTGCCACTGGCACTGCCACTCAGCATGCCAACTTAGTGGTTCGTTATGGTGAACACGAATGTAGATACTTATATATAACGTCTGTATATAGTGAATAAAAGCAAAAACAGTATTGTGGGAGGAGAATGTGGGTGAGTCAGATGACTTGAGGGAGGGCATGAGTGGCTGGCTGGTACACGGCGGTCACTCCTCGTTACTTTTTGACTCATAATAGCTACTTAGTGGTTCGTTATGGTGAACAAAACATGCAGATACTTATATATAACCTGTGCTTATAGTGTAATAACCGACAAAGTATTTGTTCACTGATTGATGAACATAATTGAATCAACAATATGCACACCATATTTTTGAGTACAGCGATGATTCACTCATTTTATTATATAAATATAATACAAACTACACACAATTGAATAATATTACAGCATAAAAACTATGAAAAATCAATCAGAGACATTGAAATAATTAGGTAATTATCTCTTTGTGGCAACTCCGGCCTGACAGCTGGCGATCAACAGACCACCTGGGACGCACGCTGACTCAGCGCCTGTTTTTTGCCAGACTTCCCCGCCCTATAGCAGGCAATATATGCCACTTACGATTTTTTTATTATTTTTCCCATGATCAGTGAACACAAATTAACAGATTAGGAAGACAAAATATTTTTTTTTTCAAAATTACATGCACCTGTGGGGAAGAAAGGATATTATACCCCTAGCATGTTAAGGGTTAAAGAACTTATGTTCCTTAAAGCTTAAAGCTCCCAACAAACTCCAAGGGCAAAGACCACCACAAGTAAGGAAGCCCTCTAACGGAGAGTGATTCCCGAACACCCCAGGAAAGATAACTCTGGCCACACAAGGGCAGTACTTATGGAGCACCTAGGAAAGGTGACCCTAGGCGCATACATCTCCAGTGTGCTAAACTCCAGGCCAGCACACATGACCGTGTAGGAACAGCCTTGTAAGGCAAAACACCAACAAAACGGGAAAGTGTTGCCAGAGCAAGCCGATGACCGTCGGGCACAACATCAGTGAAGAACTGGCTGGTGGCAGCACAGGTCATCACCCCCCTCCCCCAGCAGTGAGGGGTGTGGAGGAGGGGGTAGCGGCGAGGATAGTTGGATGAAGTTTAGGTTGTTCGTTTCTTGGTGGGGAAGTTCTTTTGATACTTAGATGGCACATGTTGCATTTTTCAACCGGGCAGTAGTCTGTTTTGATTTGCCAACCTTACTGGGTGCTTCCCTGGTTGATGGCCAAATGACAAACTTCAAATGTAAAATGTTCATGCTCCATTGTTCTCTGCACCTCTCTGAGGGGGGCCAGGTTCTGACTTGTGGTCCCTGGAAGGCCTACAAGAACTCTGCGACTGATGACTCGTGGTGCTAATCACCAATTGGGTTCCTAGTGGTCACCTTTATTTTATTTTATTTGCAGTTGTATGTTTTGGTGCGCTTTACCTTTCTGGAGGTTTTCCTGCTTGATACCTGCTTGATGGGGTTCTGGAAGTTCTTCTACTCCCCATGCCCGGCCCGAGGCCAGTCTTGACTTGTGAGAGCTTGGTCCACCAGGCTGTTGCTTGGAACGGCCCGCAGGTGCACATATTCATCACGGCAGTTCTTGAAGAAAACTATCAAGTTTTATCTTGAAGATGTCCACGGTGGTTCTGGAATATTTCTTATGCTCGCTGGGAGGATGTTGAACAACTGTGGACCTCTGATGTTCATACAGTGTGCTCTGATTGTGCTTATGACACCCCTGCTCTTCACTGGTTCTGTTCTACATTTTCTTCCATATCGTTCACTCCAGTAAGTTGCTATTTTACTGTGTAGATTTGGGACATAGCCCTCCAGTATTTTCCACATGTATATTATTTGATATATCTCTCGTCTCCTTTCTAGCGAGTACATCTGGAGAGCTTTGAGATGATCCCAATAATTTAGGTGCTTTATTGCGTCCATGTATGCCATATATGTTTTGAACTCTATTTCAGCAACCTATCCTGCTTTGAAGGGGAAAGTGAGTAGTGAGTCGTGCTCAAGACAGGACAGCACAAGTGACTTTAATAGTACAACCATTGTGATGGAATCCCTGGATTTGAAAGTTCTCGTAATCCATGCTATCATTTCTCTGGCTGACACAATATTTGCTTGGTTATACTCCCTAAACAGTAGGTCGTCAGACATTATTATTCCAAATCCTTGGCATGCTGCTTTCCTACTATGGGCAAATCTGATTGTGTTTTGTACCCTGATTTATATTTAATGTCCTCATTTTTAGTGTACCTGAGTACCTGGAATAATCTCTGTTAAACATCATGATATTTTCTTCTGTTCAGTCAAAACTTTATTAATATCTGCTTGTAGTTTTTCAATGATTTCAGCAGAGGTAATTTTCATGCTGATTTTTGTGTCATCTGCAAAGGATGATATGAAGCGGTGACTTGTATTTTTGTCTATGTCTGATATGAGAATAAGGAAAAGCAGTGGTGCAAGGACTGCACCCTGAGGTAGAAAGCTTTTTGGACTCAATTATATATAGTTGACTCTTACTCTTTGTGTTCTGTTTGAGAGAAAATTGAGTATCCACTGTTCAACTTTACCAGTTATTCCCATTGACCTCATTTTGTGTGGTTCAGAAGTTAGTTTTTCTATTCCTTGTTTAGTATTTGTAATATTTAGAACAGTGTCACATTGAATGTTCATAAGTGCCCAGTTTATTTTTTCCCAGTCTATCCTTTTATTTTTAAATTTTAATTTACTGAATAACCCCCTCTCGCTTGATCATTGTTTTTGGTCTATTCTATGTATTGATGATAGTTTGCACTTCAATGAGCTTGTTATCTGAGTATGTGGTGTCCCCGGTATCTGAGATCGTAATGTCCCTGATTATGTCTTCATTGTGAAGACCAGATCTAGAATATTTTCGTTCCTAATTGGCTCTGATATCCGCTAGTTGAGTGAAAATTTGTCACAGAATCTAAGTAGTTCTCTAATCTGTGGTTGGCTATGTCCAGGTAGATTTCCTGGTATAATATTATTGTTTGCTATTCTCCATCTTAGACTACGCAGGTTGAGGTCACCTAGGAAAATAATATCAGGTATTGGGTTTGTAAAATTATCAAGGTTATTCTCTATTTTGTTTATCTGTTCTGTGAATTCCTCAGCCGTTGCATCTGACAGTTTGTATATTAGAAAAATAACTATGTTTATTGGTGATTATTTGTACTCTTAGGGTGATCTAGTGTTTCCTGTGCCTTGTGCCTCTATTGAGTAGATCAAATTTTGTTTCTGTTCTCCAGTAGGCATTTCTGACTTGCATGTGCGTGGTGTGACATGTGTAGGAAGATTCAGGTAACTAGCTCCAGGGAACCACTGAGGAGCTCATCTCCCATGAAACAGTAATAGATCACATGATCATGCTGTGGAGAAATACAGAATTTTTGTGGTAAGAAGTTTCAAGGGAGGTATGCAAAATAGAACCAGATTGGAGACCATGCGTGTAAGATGATAGTGTGGCTGAGGTGAGTGGCACCACTGATTGAACTGCAAAACAAAAAGGGTCATCATCCAACATACAAAATATCTATGCAATGCACGGATAAGTGACTATATTTGGTAATTTATCTCATGTATTATTCATATAATAGTTGACACAGAATGTTGACTCCATGAATCCACTGTCTCATGGCTGAAAAGTTACTGCATATTTACCAAAGCAAACAATGATGATTTTATCTGGAATATCTACAAAAATTTGTAGAGCATGTTGCCAACATTTTCCTTAGAATGTTCCCATAATATTAATCAGAATTTATCCATCATTTTGTCAACAATTCCCAGACATTTAATTTACAATGTCCATGTAAATTTGTTCGGAATGTAATAATTTTTTCCTGTTTCCAACATCACAATAATCTGCTTAGCTGATTAATGTAATCATAACAAAATCATTGGATTATGTGTACCAAAACTATCATGATTTTTACCTGAGGTGCTTTAGTCGGTTTCCAAAAGTCGATCGCAATTGGTGTTCCGTTGATCACACAGCCGTTCATAGTGATGAGCCACGTCACCTCTCACAATGCTTTTTGCTGAAAATAGTTTAAACCATTAATATGTAAACTACTAAATAAACCATTAAATTAAATTAAGGCACTTTATATATATACATTAAAAGCAAACCATCACAAATAATAATTCTAAACAAGTAAAGCATTCAGATTTTTTTTCTGGGGAAGTCCCTTGTGGCTCCATAAAGCTATCATCTCTGATGTATGTGCCAACAGTCATGGAGTTCTCTGGCCTACTGGGCACCCAGAGCCAGAACCTGGTCCCCTCACAGAGGCACAGGGAATCATGACTCGTAGGTGAAAAAGTACCTTTATCCGGAACACGAGATTATCCGGCTGGGGGTCCTTCCCATATAGTCCGGAGTCCGGATAATCGAGTGAAGACAGTGTATGTATGTATGTATGTATGTATGTATGTATGTATGTAGTATATATATATATATATATATATATATATATATATATATATATATATATATATATATATATATATATATATATATATATATATATATATATATATATATATATATATATACTGTATATATATATAAAAAGTACACAAAGTACAGTGGTACCTCGGCTTACGAATGCCCCCTCTTTACAAACTTTTCGGGTTACGAGCCCAATTTCTTCGTAAAATCTGAATCAGGTTACGAACGTTGCCTCAGGAAACGAAGTTTGTTGATACACATATGGCTGACCCAGCGAGTGGTGGCATGGTGATCGTGCCTCAGTTTACCAGTGCCTCCCGCCTAGTGACAATCGCACCTGAATTCTTTGTAAAGAATTTCAAATTTTTTAGGATTTTTTGCTATTTGAACACAAAAGTTGTTATTATATATATCTCGCCATGGGTCCCAAGAAAGCCAGAGGTAAGGTTCAAGCCAAGAAAACACATGTGAGAATAACCATAAGAAGCTGTAACAAGAGGCAGCTGAGGAAATGTCTTCAGGGGAGGAGAAGGGAGTATACAATGTCCCTTCATCAACAATTAGGAAGTGGTGTAGACTGCGGGAAGAAATGCAAACTTGTTGAAACGATTCACCCAGAGCAAGCTGTAGTAAGTCATTGAATTAACCTTTTTAATGACACTGTGATGCCTCAGTTCAAACAAGTGTTACAACGAAGAGAAAGAAATCCTCTCTGGATAGATTTTTAGTGAAAAAATCAAGCAGTGAGCCACAAGCAGGTCCTAGTGGTATGCAGGCAAAACATGCCTGAGAGTGTACCACAGAGAAGTCATCACTGCCTGATGTTATAATGGAAGGGGACTTCCATTCCAAACAGTAACACCTCTCCTACTCCCCCCCTCCTCACCATCTTCAATACGCCAACAAAAGTCATCAATAAAGGTAAGTAAAAACTTGTACATACTTTAGTACTAAAGATTTGGGTGAATTAGGTATAAAATTTACTTTGAAATTAATTTTTTGGGGGTGCTGAAGGGATTAATTCAATTTACATTATTTCTTATGGGAAAATTCGCTTCGGTTTACGAATTTTCGGCTTACGAACCGTCTCTGGAAATGGATTAAATTTGTAAGCCAAGGTACCACTGTATCCTACATCATGCCATTCCCAAGATATTTAAGATTAAAGTGCCCAATATCAGACTAAATAAACAAAGGATCTTAATCGCAATTGGACCACAAACACAGCGAGGAACTAGAGTTTTCAGACATTACTGACATTAACGGATACAAAGTCAGATGCTACAAACCACTGGGCGATCGATTAGTGACATATGTAATTCGACATGTTGTAGACATTAGTGCAGACGACATCAAGGCAAAACTTCAGGCAGATGACATTCCAGTCTTTGGAGTCAAAAATTTATGCATAGAACAAATGGTGAACTGAGTGATACAGGCACTGCCCTGCTTACTTTTCTAGGCTACTTTTCCCTCTATCGGGTTTGGATTAACGGCTTACTCCATAAACTAGAGGTGTACGTACCATGTCCCACTCAGTGCTTTAGATATAAAGATTTTAACCATACCTCGAAAGGCTGCACCAAGGACATTAAATGTGGGAAATGCTATCAGATATACTCACCTGCTCAAACTGTGGTAATCATGACATTACATTCAAACAATGTCCTTCATACATAGCAACAAAAACGAAGGCTCTCCTCACCAACAACCTGCAATATAGTAATGCACTGAAATAACCTAATTCAGTCCATCATCAACCACTACCTCACACTCAACCATATCCTTTACTTGTACCTGATATGTCTGTCACTGACAATCCTATAACCCCAGAGTCCAATCCTTTCCCACAAAACATACAATTGAGTCTCTATCTTGTTGAAACACATGCACTGAAAATGCACTAGAAAATATGCTGGACTGACTCCTAACTAAATTCTTTACACAAGTAAACCAATCCATCCCCGAGGCTGGCCCAATACACACCCCTCATCCGGGTTGGTCTAATTACCCAGTCACCCAAATCTACTCAAAGCTACCCAAAGCTTCCTAGCATTACATAAGTAATAAAGAACTACTTCTTGACGTTATCTTGAGATAATTTCGGGGCTTAGCATCCCCATGGCCCAGTCCTTGACCAGGCCTCCTTTTTGTTACACATCGCCAGGAAGGAGCCAGTAGCAGCTGTCTAACTCTCATGTACCTATTTACTGCTAGGTGAACAGAGGCACCAGGGTGAAACTCTGCTCATTTGTTTCTGCCTCTGCCAGGGATCAAACCCAGAACCTTAAGTCTATGAATCCCAAGCACTGTCCACTCAGTCATCAGGCCCCCAACTATGATATATTTACTCACTATAATATGAAAAGTAGAAACTGCTGAATGTAGAAAATGAAAAAAAAAAATTTTTACTCTGAAATAATATAATTTTATAACGAAATTGGGCCAATCTAATTACCCAATGACACAACATTGTTGCTTGGATCATCAACTTCCTATGGCATTGCCTGCCACTTAATTTTGTCTAATTTCGTAATAAAATTATATTATTTCACAGAAAAAACATGTTATTTCATGTTCTACATTCAGCACCAACATTATAGTGAGTATATATCATAGTTCTTCATTACTTACGTAATTCTAGGAAGTTTTGCATAGCTTTGAGTAGGTTTTGGGAGCTGGGTAAGTAAACCGACTGCCTCATCCACAGCCACAGAGAATGACATCCAACCTAATGCAGTTACCATTGCTGTATACAAATACTGTAGTTCAAACTGATGCTGGACAAACTCAAATAAGTACAAATAAGTACTTAGCATGCCTTACCCAAGTCACTCCCCAGGCCGACTTGCCACAAACCCCAACCACCGGCACTAAGAGTAAGAAACCCCCAGCTGCACAAACCTCCCAGTGACCTGGCACTTTGACTGAAAAACCACGTCAACCATACTCTCCCACAACACATCCTCCAACTACTCCCAGATATTCAACACGCTGTACTACTGGCATGTCAAAGAAGACTGATGCAATCACATCCCAAACGTAAAGATCTAAAATACGACAACATAACATAACCCATCCTCAACTAACCTAACCAACCTAACCTAACTTCATACACATTAACCCTATGTTACTTAATGTACTCTAACTTACCCAATCCTAATCTACCTTAACCTATCTGAATTGCGACTAACTCCCAAACATACTTCGACTCACAAACTCAGTCTCTTGACTAAACCACACACTTTTCATCGAATAGCAACACTTTGCTACCACCATAAACACAACTCATCTTTGCCATCCTGAGTATTTCCACTCATGTTTATCTTTGACTTTATCCTCATACAAATAAAAGACATCGATATCTTTCAACCTCTGCCAAATTATGAACATTGACGCGACACTGTGAGTGCCGCATCTTTCAACTTAACCATTCGTGCAGCCATCGGGAGGAAAAACCTTCATGCACGTATGCGACCAATACAAGGCTTAATGGGATAATTATTACAATTAAATGAGACGAGTTACCAAAAAACCGCAACACTTTTAGGTTTCTTTATGCTTGATGATACGTTAAGCAATCCTGTCTTAGGCCTCCCCTCCTTTTCTCATAGTACCATTTGATGATAAAGTTGAATTCATGTTAAGTTTTGTTGTGATGCTCAGATCGGTCGCTTGGCTCTCTAGATCACTATTCCGTTTTCTTTGGTGGACAAATTATTCTTATACGTTTTCTTTGGTTGTGGTCAATCATGAACCCATTGATGATAAATGTTTATAAAATAAATGTTTATTCAGGTAAGGTACATACATACATACAAGAGATTTTTACAAACATTCATAGGTTTATAGATAGAGCTAGTACATACAACGCCTAAAGCTACTATTACGCAAAGCATTTCGGGCAGGAAAAACATTAAAGACTAAAACTTAATACTAATTGAGATTAAAGTATAAAATGTGTTGAGAAAAAATATAAATAACAAAGAAGGAACATGGCAGAAAAACAGCAAAAATACAATTAGGTCGACAAACAGCATTGTTTAAAAATAGCAGACATGGGTTGACATTATAAATAAATAATTTTTTATTCAGGTAAGGTACATACATACAAGGTGAGATACAAAGTTGATGGATTTATAGATAGAGATAGTACATACAAGGAAAAGTACAGAACTAGGAAACAGGATTGGTTCAACAGAAAGTGCGAGAGGGCCAGAGACCAACAGAAACAAAAATGGAATCAATACAGGAAGAGGCCAAACCCCCAAACATAGCAGCGATACAAAGATGCGAGAAACAACTACACGGCAGTGAGGAGAGAGGCAGAAAGAAATTTTGAAAAAGGGATTGCAGACAAATGTAAAACAGAACCTGGTCTATTCTATAAATTCATAAACAACAAATTGCAGGTAAAGGATGATATACAGAGGTTGAAAATAGGAAATAGATTCACGGAAAATGAAAAGGAAATGTGTGAAACATTAATCGAAAAGTTCCAAAGTGTGTTTGTACAAAATGAAATCTTCAGGGAACCAGATACAATAAGAATTCGAGAGAACATAGAGCACATAGAGATGCCTAGAGACGAAGTGGAACAAATGCTCAAGGAGTTAAATAAGAACAAAGCAGTTGGTCCAGATGGAGTTTCACCATGGGTTCTGAGAGAATGTGCACCTGAACTCAGCATTCCTCTTCAACTGATTTTTCAGGCATCCCTGTATACAGGAGTTGTAGCTGATGTGTGGAAAAAGGCTAACATAGTTCCAATCTACAAAAGTGGAAGCAGGGTCGAAGACCCCCTTAATTATAGACCGGTATCATTGACAAGTGTAATAGTCAAAATATTGGAAAAAATAATTAAAACTAAATGGGTAGAACACCTGGAGAGAAATGATATAATATCAGACAGACAGTATGGTTTTCGATCTGGAAGATCCTGTGTATCGAATTTACTCAGTTTCTATGATCGAGCAACAGAGATATTACAAGAAAGAGATGGTTGGGTTGAATGCATCTATCTAGACCTAAAAAAGGCTTTTGACAGAGTTCCACATAAGAGGTTGTTTTGGAAACTGGAAAATATTGGAGGGGTGACAGGTACGCTTCTAACATGGATGAAAATTTTTCTGACTGATAGAAAAATGAGGGCAGTGATCAGAGGCAATGTATCGGACTGGAGAAATGTCACAAGTGGAGTACCACAGGGTTCAGTTCTTGCACCAGTGATGTCTATTGTCTACATAAATGATCTACAAGTTGGTATACAGAATTATATGAACATGTTTGCTGATGATGCTAAGATAATAGGAAGGATAAGAAACGTAGATGATTGTCATGCCCTTCAAGATGACCTGGACAAAATAAGTATATGGAGCTGTTACGGACCCGAGTCCAGCGTCCGAGCACGGAGCAGTGACGACCACGCCATCTGTGTGTCAGCTCCCGAAACCCCCTCCAAATGGACGACGCCATCTAGTGAGGACAGGATATATCTGCCACAGGGGCTGGTTTCCCGTCCTGATCAGCTCATAACACGTACAGCCGCTGCTGACCTCTGGTGAGGGGACGCTTAGACAGCAACGCCATCTATGGAGTGGATAGGTGGGCGTTTGTGTCTAAGCCTGTAAGTGAGGTTCCCTAGAGTGTCCCCAGCACTAATGACGTGTCTGATTACAGAGTCGATCTGGGACTGCTGTAGTGGACGTTGGATCAGTCTACCCAAGGCAGCCGAAGAACCTCCCCGCATTTGCTGCTGAATCTGTGAGTCACCCCCCCCCCCGGATGAACACTGTTGTGTTAGCCTGCCTGTGAGGTGGCAGAACCAGGGATTGTCGTACCCGGGGCTGACTGGTGGAGAAGACTAGCCACTGGGGTGTTGTGGTGAGGAGAGTGATCTGTGAAATCACACGAGGCTCCTGCCTAGGGCTCGCAACCCTAGTATCGGTCGTGGAGTGGCCTAACCAGCGGAACTGATTGGAACCTGCCAGCTACAGGCTGGATTTGTGGTTGACGGCCTCCACGACGGTGCCCCCAGTGGAACTGTGATTTGGCTGGCCTGTGGCCAGGGTAGACTCGAGAGAATCGAAGGATTCATCGTGAGGCCACAAGAGGACCAAGGGCTAAGCATCGTTGAGCACCGTGGAACACTCTGCGTCTTCAGAGGAAGACCATATTGTATATTATAGTGTTTATACCCCCCAGTGTGATAATTTATATATTTATTTATGGTGATGGTGATATATATTTAATTTTGTGTAATCGTATCCCTTCCCCTTTAATTTACTTGCGTTACTGAACACACCCCTTGAAAGCCACTACTAACTTGGGGCCAGATACCCTACCTCTAACAACATCAGAGAAAGAACCCTGTTGCGACCCAATAGGGCCGTAACAGGAGCACCACTTGGCAAATGGAATTTAATGTTAATAAATGCCATGTTATGGAATGTGGAATAGGAGAACATAGACCCCACACAACCTATATATTATGTGAGAAAACTTTAAAGAATTCTGATAAAGAAAGAGATCTGGGGTGGTTCTAGATAGAAAACTATCACCTGAGGACCACATAAAGAATATTGTGCGAGGAGCCTATGCTACACTTTCTAACTTCAGAATTGCTTTTAAATGCACGGATGGCGATATACTAAAGAAATTGTTCACGACTTTTGTTAGGCCAAAGCTGGAATATGCAGCGGTTGTGTGGTGCCCATATCTTAAGAAGCACATCAACAAACTGGAAAAGGTGCAAAGACATGCTACTAATTAAGTGGCTCCCAGAACTGAAGGGCAAGAGCTACAAAGAGAGGTTAGAGGCATTAAATATGCAAAAACTGGAAGACAGAAGAAAAAGAGGTGATATGATCACTACATACAAAATAGTAACAGGAATTGATAAAATCGATAGGGAAGATTTCCTGACACCTGGAACTTTAAGAACAAGAGGTCATAGATATAAACTAGCTAAACACAGATGCCGAAGAAATATAAGAAAATTCACTTTCGCAAACAGAGTGGTAGACGGTTAGAACAAGTTAGGTGAGAAGGTGGTGGAGGCCAAGACCGTCAGTAGTTTCAAAGCGTTATATGACAAAGAGTGCTGGGAAGACGGGACACCACGAGCGTTGCTCTCATCCTGTAACTATTTATTTATTTATTTATTTATTTATTTATGCATATACAAGAATGTACATAAGGAATGTGAGGATACAAATATGGTAATTACAGTCTTGTAAAGCCGCGCAGCGTTTCGGGCAGGTCCTTAATCTAAGAAAATTTTAAGGAGGTAAATACTTGCAAAATTTATAGACAAAAAAAATGATAACAGTTACATGAAATGAAAAAAAGAAGATGAGAGAAAATTGTAGGTACAGTATATTAAAGCACATAGGTAGCTAAGATTGATTGGAATGACAGCTTGAATGGTAGTTGACAAAAATTGGTAGGCACAATACAGCAGAAACAATATAAGATTGATTGCAATGACAGCTTGAATGGTAGTTGACAAAAATTGGTAGTCACAATACAGCATATGGCTAGCACATAAAAGAAGACAGCAATGAACACAATGATAAGGTTGTTTGATATTACATAAAAATTAGGAGATTGGGTAACACTAGGTACAGAGCAAATTTAAAGCTCAGTGTAGGAAACTAAGAAGATGAAGTTAGGTACTTTTTGGTTTTGCTTTTAAATAAGGCAAAAGTTTTACAGTTTTTCAATTCACTGAGGGAGTGAGTTCCATAGACTAGGTCCCTTAATTTGCATAGAGTGTTTACACAGATTAAGTTTGACCCTGGGGATATCAAAGAGATATTTATTTCTGGTGTGGTGATAATGGGTCCTATTACATCTGTCCAGGGAGAGTTTCAGAGCATGGTTTGCATTTAAGAACAGGGTTTTATAAATGTAGTTGACACAAGAGAATGTGTGGAGGGAGTTAATATTTAGCAAGTTTAGGGATTTAAACAAGGGGGCTGAGTGTTGTCTGAAAGCAGAATTTGTTATTATTCTGATAGCAGATTTTTGCTGGGTAATGATGGACTTGAGGTGGTTTGCAGTGGTTGAACCCCATGCACAGATACCATAATTAAGATAGGGATAGATTAGTGCATAATATAGAGAGATGAGAGCAGAGTTAGGTACATAAGATTTCAATTAAATAGTTACACAGTTGGTGGTACAATAGGCTAGGAGGTGTATAATCTTTTACGGTTTCACATTCAACAATATAGTGTTGTAGTGAATGCATTAAAAGTTTGTCACAGAGTTTACAGTCTGAATATTCTGGTAGTGGCTCAGCCTCATTAACCTGCTAGATGTGTCTATAGCCAAGGCGAATTCACGCAATGACTACATCACACTGCCTGATTCAGTCACTGTGCTGACCTTACAAATACCTGATATTAATAAAGTTTGATGTGATAGAACCCATAATCACCACACACCAGAAATAAATATGTCTTTGATATCCCCAGAGTCAAACTAAATCTGTGTAAATACCCTATGCAAATAAAGTGACCTGGTCTATGGAACTCACTCCCTAACGAATTAAAAAAGCGATCCAACCTACCGCTGATTCAAAGGTAACACCAAAAGTACCTAATTTCATCTTCATAGTTTTCTACCTAGTTCTTCACACTCGCACTGTGTCGCGTGCTACCCCAAAATATG